AAAGCCGACACCACAGCAACGATCCGGGACCCCAAGACCTCATCCCCGAGATTCAGTCTCTTCGTAGGATACGTGGGTGTTTTATTATTAATTTTCAAAAGGTATGTTCCGCACTGTTTCTCGCCAAAATTTTGATGAAAGAACAAACTTCAAATACATTTAGGAGGCTGTGATTTTTTTCAGTTCTGTAGGTTAACATTAACACTAGCAATAACCCATTAAAATTTACCTCGAAAATATGCCAAAATTTACGACTTCATATCACTATCATCCGAAAACCATTTTCCCCTGATGTCTTTCTTTAAGTTTCGAAACGAATTATAATCACTAAGGGTCAAGTCTGAACTGCACGGGGTGTGGTTTGTGCAGGTAAAGCGATTTTCGTCTGCACTATCCCTCGCAAAAAGCCAGGTATGAGGAGGAGCGTTGTCGTCTAAAAAAAGGCCAACTCTATATTTTGACCCCACGTTTCTTTTCAACCGGAGGACGCAGCTCCTTCTGGGTACCTGCATACGCGGCCCCATTTATTGTAGTATTTCCAGCAATAAATTTTATAAGGAGGGGACCTTTGATATCCTTGAAAATGGTCATCATCAATATTTTGTCAGATTTTTGCACATTTCAATTCTCGGGCGGTGGCAACCCCTCCTGCTTCCATTGAGGGAATTATTATTTGGTCACCGGGTCATAATAGTAAACTCAGGTACCATATTTAGCTAATAAAATATTGAGCAGGTTCAAGTCTTCATTTAATAGGTTAAAATTTGCATTGCAAAAGTCGACTCGATCATGTTTTTGAGATGCCGAAAGCAATTTTGGTACCCAACGGACGGAAACCATTTTCATACCTAAGTCTTCAGTTAACATGGAACAAATTGCTGGTTTTGGAACACCCATCTCATCTGCTATATAGGACAGTTTCAATCGCGGATCTCTCATTATTGGTTCCTCTAGTTTCCGGAGCCTTTCTGTGGAAGAAGCGGATTTTGAGCGTCCTTGCGACTTTTTGCCCGAGACCTCGTTTCGCCATCATTAAAAATTATTGACCCAATTGAATTTGTGTTTTGTGTTGGGCAGTTTTCATTGTACATTTTAAGCATTTAACCATAAATCTGCGACACGTATTGCCCATCCAGCATTAAAAATTAAATCACACTACGATATTTAATTTGCAAATCTAGCATTTTTTCCGTCGAGGTAAAGTTTGCCGATTTATTGCTAGTGTTTATGTTAACCCACAGAGTTGAAAAAAATCACAGCCTCCTAAATGTATTTGAAGTTAGTTATTTCATCACGATTTTGGTCAGAAACAGTGCGGAACATACCTTTTGAAAATTAATAATAAAACACCTACGTATCTTGAGTTAATTTGGATAAGTAGGGTAGATAGTTCGTTGATATAGTTCGTTGTATGAATGAGTGCAATGAGAGAATAAAGTAGAAATAGATAAACTGTTGGGGTGACTTATTGTGCATCAGAAGAGAAGTCTCTCCCTCCCTTCCCACATCAGGGAGGAATAGAGGACACACAAAAACCCCGCAACAAAAAACAGGAGAGTTTTGAGTTTGGAAATTGTTGAAAAGCTTTTTTGGGGTGACATTCATTAAATCCGGTCTAGTATCACGTCTGGGTGTTATTCATTGTAGACTACGTGATGATTTTGGCAACATGGCAAAACTGATTTTCCTGCTGTTTTATCCCATAAATATGTTTGACCATGAGAAGATTAATCATATCGTGGCGAATAAGTAATATCGAAAAAAGCTCATCTAATCGCATATTTTAGTGCGAAATTGTCTGCGGCCCAACTTGGCATTTATGTATCCTACGTACAACAAACAAAACGTTCAAGTATTTGAAGCACTTATCAAGACCCAAACAGCATCTCTACTCGTAAATGAATCCCATGAAAAAAACTCGGAACTTATGCCTTTATTAAGGTAATTATGGGTCGCAACGATTACCAGTAAAGCAACTTAACAAGTACAGGTTTTGACAGAAATTTAGACAGATACGCAGCTTTTTAATTCGGTAAGCATAATTCAGGAAATTATTATTATTGTCAATATGTACGCATATTTTCATTGGAGGACCGTCCGCAAAATTTAATACGATTAATAGGATTCACTTTATGTTGTTTCTCGAGTCGGTTTCAAACAGTAGTGGGACAAGCTTGAGTGTGAATAACATTCACATTATCTTAACCATGAGATTGGTAAAGAAACGTGACCATCTACTTAAGTTTGCGATGTTTGCAGTTGCAAAAGTTAATACTAACCACGACAACTCATCGTTTACCAAGTTTACACATCATAGCGTGTCTCATGTTTGTAATCTGCAGACCGGGCTAAAACTCTTCATACGACTCTTCTTGACTGTACATTAAGACGGAAGTGTGTTATTACACATTTTTGTCACGCTTAACGTTGGTACATACACATTTTTTGCGACATAGTTCACATACATGTAATTTCACCTATTAATTATTTGCAAAATTATGACACCGGTCCGACCCTCGTAGCGTTAAAATTGACCGAGTTACAATTTAAGATGCCTGCAAGGATCAAATTCTAGGCCAAAAATTTGTCTAATTCTGGGAAAAAATTATTATTCCAGTTTATGCTGGCAGCTTTTCATGTATCATCAATATCCACAATTTTCCAGCTTCATAATTTAAAAATTTGCCATGGACTAAAAATAAATAATAGGTTTGATCCGGTCATTCTAGATTCGCTTCAGAAAGACTGAAAAGCCGACCTTTAGTTTCTGATTATTGTCACACTTCAGGACACTACCTTGGTCCGAAGTCGCCCGCCATTATTAGGGGTATTCACGCCTCAATAATTAAATTACCAAATTCGCTTTCTGGACTCATCCTCAGTTTTTGAAATACTCATAGTTTTCAATTGAAGAATTGAAAACTTTTAAGAACGACAAGATTGTCGTTCTTTAAAGTCATTTTGACATCTATAGTTCATTTTGTAGTTAATTCAGAGAAGAAAAAATACCGAAATTTCATCTCTTAATCGGGACAAGACATATTTACCACATATTCCTGTCTTTAGTGCGACGCCCTAATTTCAAACGTCCTTGTCTGATTGATTCCTTAAGAGAGGTACGCAATTTAATTTCCTCTCATCACACATTTTCCCAGTCACATATACCAATGTGAATGGGTTGGTAATTATGCATGAATGATAAATAAGACAGCAGCAACGCTATTCTGAGGATTTACTGCGGAGAGGAAATACGGCGAAAGAAGAGGGTTATCCGTTGTAGTCGTTATTGCCCCGAGCAAATAGAGGTAACAATATCCTATGAATGCCGTAATAGAGAAACCCTATACCAGTGTCACTCGTCATCAGACAAGATTTTAAATAGATGTGGCTCGCAAGCTAACTCTTCTTAGCAAAACTGCAAGACAATTAACAAGCTAACTTCCGTCACTCTGTAAAATATATTCAGTAATAACGATTGATAAACCAGGAAGCAGGCCACCATTTGTGTCACCACAGAAATCAAATTGCGAAGAGGTAAGATTGCACCATTAAACTCACTACGCTGAAAGTGAAATCTCCAAAGCAGAATTAGGAACCCCTTAACTGGGTTGAATATTCAGAACATCATATTTTTCTCGAAATTACTAGCCTGTTGATTTTATTTGAGCTGAACAGCCCTGTTTTAACCGCTTCTCCCCTTTTAGTCCTGGTTCTCATTTATCAACAATTCTATTTGTACAGACATATGTAATTGTGTCCCGTCGAAAGATTTAGAAGCAAACGCCATTTTGCTCATTATTAATCAATTAACTGCGTTGCAACCACACCCTTTGCTTGATTTCTTACCGTTCCCAGCGACCCCCGTAACTTTTCTAGAATAGCCAGTGTATATATTTCAATGGCGGACGTATTAAAAGATTTTCAGTGTCCCGTAACCGAGTATAACATGGGCCAAGGAGGATGAACCTTAAATAGGCCTAGGTAAAATATCGAATTCGGCACAACTGCGAAATATTAATCCAAAGCATTTCAGAAACTTTCATTTACGAACCTTGTATCCCCAAGCTGGCAGCCCATATATGGTTATTCGGATTAAATTTAGAAGCTCCACGGCAGCGTCAAAGTCTCTGATTATCTGTAGGATGCTCATGTTCGGTCACGTGCGATATTTTAGGAACGGGTGCGTTTACAAGTCATCCGAACATATTGGCGGATATACTTTAACGCTGTCCATATCGGGATATGCTCTATGTAGATATTATAGAATATGCGCGTCTACATTACATTAGTCTACCTTAATTACCTATTTATAAACAGCGTCAGTGCCCAAACTTGCCTGGCCCGGCCCTGGGAACTTTTCCTGGCCCGGCCCCATTTAATAATTTACTATGAGTTTATGCATAACATTCTAATTCTAAACTTGTGTGCTAAATCAGATCAATATGATGATAAGCTTATTAATGACGTCCAAATTAGTAAAGGTATGACTTTATTAAAGAATATTTACTACTTCGACCACTCTATCTCGTACTTCAAGGTTATACAATCTTAATTTTGCGACATTTTTGGGAGGCGAAATCATTAATCACCTCATCGAAGTCAATATCATCTGCAACCTCTCTTCCAATAGAAATTAACGCAAGGGCGTTAAGCCTCTCCTGACCCATTGTCGACCTTAGGTAATTCTTGACTATTTTCATCTTCGAAAACGACCTCTCATTTGACGCAACAGAGACGGGCAGAGTCAGAAATATCCTAAGTGCTGTCTCGCAGTTTGGGTAGGCAGACGCTAAGCCATTGGCGTAAAGAATGTTAAGGACATCCATGGGTCCCAATTGAGCAAGGTCTCTGCCAGTTTCGTTAAATGCAGATATGGTGGTCTCCAGACTCTGAACTTCATTTAAAAATGTAGGACCGGAAAAATCGGAAGGATATTCATGACACAAATCCTGCATGCATTTTTGTTTCTCTTGAATTTCCATCTCTTTAAGGTTGCGACCCTACAAAAATTCAAAAGTCTCCGTGCACTTCTTAAAGGCGTCGAATCTGCGGGAGATTTCGGAAATGAGCTTCTCCATTAATTTGTCAAAAAAATCGGCTTCAAATCGTTCATAGTTGGTTTGCTTTTGCGCAACCAGAGCATCCGAACGGTCCATATAACGTGGATTTATCCCTCTTCCCCGACGAATATTTTCAAATCCACTTGACATCTCTATTCCCATGTTTTCGGCAATTTGTTGCGACAAGACTTCGGATGACTGAAATCCGGTTTCCTTGAAATTCTCCAACCAAGTTTTGAGGACATTTAATTTCTTCTTGGCTATACTCACATCAATTGTTTTATCTTGCAGGTTGAGATTACAGATGTTTATTTGGAACAAAATCTGGTTCCAAATAGTGATTCCAAGTAAAAATTTATAGTTTAGCATGTCCCGCAATCTGCTAAGGGCATTGGCATTCACATCCGAAGTGAAAGACTCTGAGGTTGAAATTTCGGTAAGGGCGTCAACGATTTCTGGGTACTGGTCATATAATGCAGAGACGGCGGCGGTTTTTGATGACCATCTTGTGTTACTTTGATATTTCAGGGTTAGCTTGACTTTGGATTGAAGAACATCCCATCTTGATGTTGATCCGGAAAAAAATAAGTAAATATTTTGGACGTCGCCAAGAATCAGCTTTGCGGGAGGAACTTTCTCCGCTGCATTAACCCCCACCAAGTTCAGGCTATGTGCCGCACATGGTAAAAATTTTGCCTTGTCATTTATTTCCAAAATTCTTGCTTGGACTCCAGAATAGATGCCCGCCATGTTTGCTCCATTGTCGTAGCCTTGTCCTCTGCAATCCATCAAGTCCAATCCATCCATTTCCAGCTTCTCCTGGATGACTTTAGAGAGTCCAAGCCCGGTTTTATTGGTCGTAGTGATAAAGTCTATAAAACTTTCAACAACTCGGCAAATCATTTCTTTGCATTCCACTGTGCGAATAACTTGAGAAATTTGATCTTGTCGAGAGGAATCCGGAGTGCTGTCGAATAAAATTGAAAAATATTTTCGTTCCTTAATGTCATTGACAAGTTTTGTTCGAATTCTTTGGCCACAGAGCAAAATAAATTCATTTTGGGAGATGGCACTAAGGAGGGGAGCTTAAGAGGTTGATAATAACAGATATTGGTGCCCTTTGGATATGTGGTAGGGACCCATGAGTGTACTAAAACCCTGAAGTAGTTTGACTCCATGGCCACATTTGCGCCCGCCACACCCACTCAAAAATGTCCAAAAAACGCTTTCACCCCAGTTTCCACTCACTCAAATCCACGCCAAAAATCCAATTTTACTCGGATTTTGAAATTTCTTTCACCATTATACTCCCAGATAGTTTCTTTCTTCAATCCAATATCAAACTCAATTTTTTCGAAATTTTTAGTATTTTTAAAATTTAAAATTCTGAATGAGCATTGTTGTAGTCATCAACAAAACAAATTATGTTTGCGAAATAATCATCAATAAAATTGAGTTTGATATTGGATTGAAGAAAGCAACTATCTGGGAGTATAATGGTGAAAGAAATTTCAAAATCCGAGTAAAATTGGATTTTTGGCGTGGATTTGAGTGAGTGAAAACTGGGGTGAAAGCGTTTTTTGGACATTTTTGAGTGGGTGTGGCGGGCGCAAATGTGGCCATGGAGTCAAACTACTTCAGGGTTTTAGTACACTCATGGGTCCCTACCACATATCCAAAGGGCACCAAGATCTGTTATTATCAACCTCGCAAGCTCCCCTCCTAAGATAACTTGGGCTGTTTTTTTGTAAGTGATCGACGTGGGCGGCCAAGGGGGCATAATACTTCGAAAGCAGCTTGATGAGGTTCAGAAAAGTTCCACAATTTGGATCGGTAATTTTTTGACTTCCACCTTGGAAGGCCAAATTATTCTTGGCTAAAAAAATATTAGGATCAATTATTAGGACGTAAAATATAATGATTGAGGGATACCCACCTAAGAATAGTACGGCGTCTACTATTCCACGCAAAACCAATCTCCAATGATTGATGTTTTCATCATAGGTTTTCACACAAGTGCCTGTTAGCGATGTGGGATCCTTGACATTTTTTAGGAAACATTTCCATGTCCGCGTCGCGTCGAAATGGCTAAGGCTGTCCTCGTGGTCTTCAACTCCCCGCTTCGCGTGTTTGAAATCCTGGAAACCGATATTTCCAACCCCCCAATTACTCCATGGTGATCTGTTTCCAGATTTGGAGGAGAAAAAGCAACATGGAAGACAAAATGCGCTATTAGAAATCTTGCTGAATCTCAGCAAATCACGAAAATATGATTCGCCATTCTTCTTTGATCCAGTAAAATATCTTCCCGAAAATTTGTGACCGTTAACTGGGACGAAAGTAAAGGTAGACTCAAAATTTGGCACTGACTACAAGATTCTGTTCCGATTTTCCTCGTTCAGGATTTGGGGCCAACTATTCGGATCAAACAATGAAATTGCAGCGTCGTCATCAGCATCCATTTCGACTTCGGAGGTCGCCAGAAATTCTTTATTTTCAATATTTTCATTAGGAATTTTAACGGGTAGAGAAGACGTTTCCAAATCAATCTACATTAAATACATTTGAACAGTATTATTTATTGGTCAGCTTTGATGCCAAATTAATTTTGCTCAATAAAAAATGAGCTTGGCATAATTTTTTTAAAGTTCAGAACCTGAGCAGACACGATTGCTTCCTGATTACGTGAACCATCCGAACGTACATCGTCTACAGAAATTTGCAATGATGTTGAAGTTGTTGCCGGCGAATCCGTCTGCTTAATAATTTCATTAATTTTCAATTTAGCGATTCTAATTTTAATGAATTTTACCACAATATTTACAATAAATAATCGTTCAGAAAGTGTCACAACTTACCACTGAGATATCCGAATGAGGCTGTGTAGGTGACTTTTAAAAACCGCTCGGCCTGCTTCCTTAATTTTTTATCCTTATCTTCTATTTCTTTCTGTTTCTTACGTTTTTGAGCTCCGGAGGGTTCTTTCGACACATCACTAATCGGTTTCTGGTTATCCAGTTTATGTTTCCTCGTCATTGCGGGATAGTAGTACCGATAGAATTTGTGAAATTTAATTGTAACAAATTTAAGCTTGGATTTTGATGGTGAAAAGAAACCTGGCAATAAATTCCCGCAATAAGTTTGTCGGATTGGGAAAGTTGAGAAGCGTCTCAAAAAAATTTTGGTTATACTGTGCAGAGTAAATGAAAAGATGGAAAATGAGAACATGTGCGATTGTTAACATACAAACTTCTAACTACTTTTTTGCACAAATTACTTAGGCTTCCTAAGTAGAAAGCACACACAATTTTTTCAGGTGTTTGCTTAGTGTGTTAACTATCGATGCGCACTTAGGATAGGTATATTAGTGTCAATGTTTAGGTTTTATGTTTGGTGTTGGTTACTGAAAAACTATTTTTATTCATTTTAAAATCAACTGCAGTCTGAATATTTTCTAATTCTTTCAGCTAAAAAATGCATGCATACATAATTATCCATTGTTGCCACTCGTGTAAAAATGAAATAGCCTACATAATAGGCCACAATATGCCTGAACAGTGAAGGATGGCCTCAGGCCTCTGCCTGTTTTAGGATTTTGAGGTCGACCTCAGTAAGACATGAGGTCGACTATTATTTTGAAAATGAAAATCTTTAAAACTAATCGTTAACCAAAGGCTTCGGTAAGGTCAAGGCCGATCGCGCCGTGGCTTTAGGTTCACGATCTGAGGTTTGGACAGAAATTATGAGGCCTTGAAATCAGTGCTCTTAACTAGCAGGGCCAAGAGAGCTTTTGGTGTGCTGGACTCGGCTCGATAATAACCGAGTCGAGCTGAATTATCTCGAACCGGACTAAAGTATTTGCTTGGCTCGAGCTCCAAAGTTAACTAGCTGGGCCGAGCCAGCTCGAGTTTTCCTGTAGTAGTATGGAAGTGGTATGAAACATATACAAGACACGAAAAATTTCAAATGAAACAGAATGTATCGATAGATGTATATTTTGCAAAACATTTTACATGATCTAGTGCACAAATTGACGCAATTGTTATTTAACCATTTTGATACTGATATGCGCATAAATTTATATTTTGTGTTCTCAGTTATTGTTTATTTTAGGTTCAACATTAGCACGCTACGCCACTGCTCAAAATCATCTAAACACTTAAATAATCGCCTGTGCAATTTTTTTGATGGACACCAGGGCCCGGCCCCCTTCGGGGCCCGGCCCTGGGGAAAACCCCCACCTGGCAGCCCCTCGTAAGGGCCCTGAACAGCGTCATCTGTTGGCGAACACGAAAATGCTCTCCGACATGAATAATCTTTCACCTCAAAGGAGAAGATCAGAAATAGAGTTGGCCCGGAAGCCAACACTAAACCATAAAAGAAAGAAAATGAGCCCACAACGACGTTCGGAGAGAGATTCAGAGCTGCAACATCTCATCTCTCCAGATCCACAAATCTTCGTAGTGTAGATTAGTTTTAGTTAATCCTAAGTTAAGTTAGATTAAGCAACTCTTGAATGAATGTGTGAGTAAATGTGAATATAATAGTAATTAAACGAAATACGATAGCTGTTAAAGTGAGTATAAACATCAACTCGGGTGAAATAAGGAACCGGGACCTTATTTCACCCGCAAAAGAAGATGGTGCCGATCCCTTTAAGTTTCACGCGGGGAGGGTGGTCTTCACACTGCCCCCAATAGCTTTATATTCAGTCTAATCCCAATTAAGAACCTTGGAAAAATTAAACAAAAGTGCTCTCCCAAATATTTTAACCATTTTTGCTAAATTTTATCGTACATTATCTCAAATTTATGGCTTAGTTTTCCCATCTCAGTCTATATTTTTTATGTTTCAAGAGTTACAGGATTCCGCAAGTTACAAATTTGCGTAGAACCCGAATTCGGAGAGAGAAAGGCATAGAGAAGTTGTTGTCCTGGCTTTAGCCGGGAGTAATGCAGTAGAGTCTACATTTTGTCTTGGAAGAGAAGCCGAATTAAAGATTTTTGCAAAACTGTGCCGTTGTGACTAACAATGGAGGTCTCCCAACGTATGCTCACAGATTTGGACCAAACTAGTGCCAATCGATCACAAATATAATTAGTATGAAATTTGCAAATGGAACTATCTGCCAATACGCAGGTTTGACGGAGATATTTGCATTCAAAGCAGAAAAATGCGCAGGAAATTTGGAAAATGAAAAATATGCCAGCCTTTTGGTGCGTTTTCTCCTCTTTTTATGCAAATATCTCCGCCAAACCTGCGCGTTGGCAGATAGTTCCATTTGCAAATTTCATACAAATTATATTTGTGATCGATTGACACTAATTTCGTCCAAATCTGTGAGCATACGTTGGGAGACCTCCATTGTAAGTATATACACTGTAGTCACAACATTTAAAACTGTAGATAAAAGAAAAATACGGTAAAAAAAATATCCAGCAAATTTTCGGTATTGTTTAACAGACAATTATATGCACGTATGCTTGAATTTTATGATATGGTCTGTTTTATTTTTGATAAAATTAGGCCAATTTTAGGATAGCCGGTGGCAATAATTTATTTCAAGCTCTTGTAAAATGTCCGCATATTGTTTAAATATGCATGATTATGGTTTGCATGTACTAATTGGACCCTTTTTTATAAGAAATGTGTACAAAAAGGGTCTAATTTTAACTTATGTACATAGTTTTCTGCTACCTGCCCAGAAGATGGGGAAATTTGCGTAAAGAAACATTCAAAAAGTTTTTCAATCTAAACTTAATTTTGATCTAACTGGAATGATTCAAATGCCTCGTCGTTACTTAGGGAGCATTTCCTCCAAGCAAATAAAAAATGCGACAAATTTGCAAATCGCAAATAAACACTACTATCTGACTGTAATAATAACCAAAGCATTTTACTTTGTTAGAGCAGTAGGCAGTTCTAGTTTTAAATCATTTTCTCGATCATGACCATATAAGCCGTGAGTAGGAATGGTGAGGTGTAAAGAGTGGCCATCTTCACAACAGTCGCGTACTCCCTATGCTTGGCATGATGGAGAGGTTTAAAAATAGAAATAAGCCCGGGAAACCTGTTCTTCACCTTTGAACGATACGATTCTAGGACTAAGAAATAATTCGTGCAGGGTGTGTTCTATTTTACCCCATGCGGATAGTGTCAAACTTTAGGTGGATAATTAGAGATTAAATATTGGTGTAAAGCGGTAACAAGGGTCATGTGCTATTTTGAGCACAGAAATCGGCTTTTATTATCTTCTTACTGCGAACAGAAGGAATCACTTCACAGCATGAATTACAAAATCATTTGTGCAGTGTTAATAGCATTTTCTTGTGGGTGGTTAATTACTGGGTACCCACAAGTAACACCTAAAATCTCAATAGTGCAAAGTGAAAATAGGGTCAAAGCCTGCGCTTTCCGGATTTACGTATGAATTTAATGGACATCTTATTGATGGGACAACGTTGCAAAACTAATTTTCCTGCTGCTAAATATATCCCATAAATAGAAGATTATTCATATCGTGACGAACTATTAAAATCTAAAAATAGCTCACGTAATCTCCTATTTCGAGCAAAAGATTCAACGGCCAAACTTGCCCTGAACACAACAAACAAAACCGTCAAGTATTTGTAGCCCTTACCATGAAGCAAACCGCATCACAGGCACATCTCTATTCGCACATGAATCATACGAAAGAACCTTGGAACTTATGTCATCTTTCATTAAGGCAATAGTGGGTCGCGACGATGGCCAGGAAATCAATTCAACAACTACAAGTTTTGACGGAAATTGGGTCAGTCACAAAGATTTTTAATTCAGTAAGCATAATTCAGGAGCCATTGTAAATAATTATTGTCGCCAACATACGTGTAATAATTGGGGGACCCTCCATTAAATTTAATGCGATTAATAGGATTCACGTTCTCGAGTCGATTTCAAACAGTGGTGGGACAAGCTTGAGTGATAACGATATTCACATTATCCTTACCATTACAACGGTTAAGAAACGTGGCCAACTACATCAGTTTGCTATGTTTACAGTGGCAAAAGTTAATACTAACCACGACATCTTATGGCATTAAATTGTATGAAAGAAATTGCATATTTAAAATTAACTGACTGGCAGAGAAAGAAGGTTTATTTGGTTTTTATGTATTGGACGAGGAAAAAAATCCCTGACCACCGAGGATCATATTGCAGATCAAGACATGGGAAAAAAAGACTTATTAGTTTGGGAAGTCTTCAGTTAAGCCAAACATTAGGCTAGTTTAGTGTATCTATAAGCAGAATGAAAGTGAATATAGTGCTTTTAAGATTAACTAAATACTGGCGAGAGTTTTTTCAATACCCTTGGTGCCCTTAAAGGAACATCCTACGCAACCACAAATGGGAAGAAGAATCATGTACAAACCCGCAACACAAGATGGTGGGCAGCTGCATCTTTTCACCTTTAAAATCCGAAATTCCGACTTTATCCAAATCTTCTTTTCCACTCAAAGTGTATCCAACTCTTAGGAAAATTATTCCAAATTCTAGGGATTTCATCTCTGGTGTCTCACGTCTCTTTCTCTCGGTGTAATTGGCTTACCAATTTTGGTCGATATACTTTATATTTTGCCTCCCACTCGTTCAGTACGTCGTTGCGCCAACCTTCTTTTTCTAACACATTATTTTTATTGGAACTAAATTTCCCTGTTCTGGCAGCATCTCCATTGTCCGTAATAGGTTTTATCCGTCAGAAATTCGATGAAGATCGACGACATTCTATCCCGAGGAAAGCTATACAGGCAAACGCCTTCTTGGTCATTATTAGCCAATTGACTGCGTTACAACCCAACCCCTTGCTTGAGTTTTTGCCATTTTCAGTGACCCCTGTAACTTTTCTGGAATTACTTACCCGTGTATATGTATTTGTAGACTTTCAGCGACATGGGTGTTACTCAGGGTTGGTACCTAGCTAAATTCATCCGGAGTTTTATTTCGATCCCGGTTTCGATCTATTTGGAAATTGACAATATTAACTTCTTACACCGAAG